GTTTGAAATGTATAAGGATCAGATGCACTACGAAGTTATTGTAGGTGTGTTTGACAGTTGTCTTAGAGAATCTGGTGAGTTTGCAACCCTAGAACCAATATGTGTGATTCCACCAGAGTTTTCTACTCGTGACAACCATGATAAGGACCCCAATAGCAAAGACATTCCATCAGGGGATGGGGATACCATTAGCCCTGATGACAACCATGCAACCTAGCCTTCTGGTAATCCTCATGGAAATGCAGACTATCCATTAGAGCCTAAACTTGAGCTAGACAGGGAGCCTAACATGTTTGACAATGATGAATAGTATGTTGGTGTTGATGATGAGGGACTGTATATGCCTGTAGCATCTGCACATGCAGCTAAAAATGCAGAACCATCTAACCATATTCGTACTACTGATGCTGATGATTCTGTTGATGATGCTGTTGATGATGCTGATGAATTTGATGATGTTGTTGCTGCTGAAGGAGGTGTTCCTCTTGAGGCAGAGGTAAATTATGCAGATTCACAGGAGGTTCATGTTATCCATGATCCTGAAAACCCCAGGATAGGGAAGGGAGAAAGATTTCCTTATATTGTTGCATTCTGGAAGGCAGTGAGACATCATGTAGTGGTCACAGGGTTTGAATTTGCTAATATCATTACAAACAAGACTAGGTTTATTGCCAAGTGTAAAGCTGAGGGATGTCCTTGGCGTATACATGCTTCAAGGATCTATGATGGCAAGACAATAGAGGTTATTTGAAGTTATCACATCTCCTTCATTTACTTACCAGTTTAAAGTCCTCCTTCTCACATTAATGTTATTTCTGTGTGTGCAGATCAAAGTACTCCCTGCAAAGCATAATTGTCCTACTACTAAACTTAGAGAATGGAAAATGGCAACACAAGGCTGGTGTGCAGATAGGTTAGGGGATTGGGTAAAGAGGAATCCAACTAAAGGTCCAACGAATTGTAAAGACCAATTAGAAGGTGACTATGGTATCAAGCTGAGCTTTCAATATAAGCTGGGCCAATGTGCCTTTGGTCTATGGTATCAAGCTCAAGTACTCCAAGGCATGGTCTGGCTAAAGGTAGCACTAGAGCAGATCCATGGAAAGTATGAGGAGAGTTTTTAGCTTCGTTTCAATTGGGCAGCTCAGATTGAGAAATCATCACCTAGCAACTTAGTGCAGATAGAGTTAGAGAAGATTGGAAAGAAGCAAAGGTTCAGAGGATTTTTGTAGCTCTTAGGTCTTGTATTGATGGATTCCTAGAGGGGTGCATACCCTTTATAGGTGTTGATGCTTTCTGTTTGTATGGCAAGTATAGAGGACAATTGGCATCTACAACTGGTGTGGATGGTCACAATTGGCTGTATCACATTGCATATGCAATTTTTGACACTGAGAATGAAAGATAGCTAGAAATGGTTTATGGAGCAGTTGCACAAAGTCATTGGAGATGTTCCAAAATTGGTTATTTGTACAAATGCAAGTAAAGGGTTAGAGAAGTCTGCTGTATTCCCAAATGCTGAGTATAGGGAATGCATGAGACACCTGTACCAGAACTTCATGAAGCACTACACAAGTGATGTTTTCACTGATCACTTGTATCCAGCAGCTAGAAGCTATGCAACTGAACTCTTTCAGTGGCATATGAAGAAATTTTTTGAGTTTGCACCTGATACTATTGAGTATCTTGAGAACCACCACAATAGGATATGGTACAGATGTGGGTTCTCTGAGAACAGCAAGTGTGATCACTTAACAAATAATGTGTCAGAGATTTTCAATGCACAAGTGAAGAAATTCAAAGGTTTGTTGCTGCATGAGCTAAACTGAGGGAGCTGATAATGGAGAAGAGATACTTGAGGAAGAAATTGGCTAGACAGTGGCATGACAGAATTTCCCCTAATGTGATGAAAGAACTCAATCTGATTAGCAACCAGCTCAAGGTGATCAAAGTCACAGTAAGTGATGATGACATTGCAGAAGTCACCATTTTGGACAACTAGAACAACCAGAGAAGGCATACAGTAGATTTGCAAATCACAAATGTTCTTGTAGGGAGTGGCAAGCCACTGGGAAGCCCTGCAGACATGCATTGGCCTAGATATTGTCCAATAGGGGCATCAAAATTGAAGATTATGTCCATGAATACTACTCAGTGGCTAAGTTCAAGAAGGCTTATGAAACCAGAATTGAACCTATACTTGAAAGGTCCCAGTGGCCTGAAGTGAACCTTGGGTTCAAAGTCTCTATCCACCATTGTTGGGTAGAGGACCAGGCAGACCTTGTGTGTCGTCACAAGAATTACTCAAAAATAAGGTAATTAATACAATAGCATTTCTCCAATGAAAGATGCCTTAACCAGCCATAGCGTGGATCTTCTTTTCATTTCAAATATAAATATGATGTCCATCTTCTGCAAACTTCCTCGAATATAAACATATACTAATATTGTATTGCGCTTCCTATATTCTTATTCCTTCTTGTGTATGCACTTTGGAAGATCTGATGGCAGCGGGGGCAGCGTGTCTTTCGACGTGGCTCCATTATTTGGCCACATCGAACACCGTGGCCATGCCCATGGCGATGTGGAACTCAAAGTGGCAATGTATGAACCATGCCTCCGGGTTGTCGGCGACGAACCGGACGACCACCCATCCAAGCCTCGGCACCTGCACCGTGTTCTTGAGCAGCGGGTCCACCAGGTTGTAGCTCCTCACGTGCTTGGCTGAGTCGTAGTTGCCATGTACCTGCACGAGCACGAAGAAGTCATGCCCGTGGAGGTCCGTCAGGTTGGAGTCGCTCTACATCGTGGCCACGCTCTGGAACACGGCCTCGATCGTGGCATTGTGGGAGAACCACCGCACCGTCATGGCCTTCCGCGTCGCCTCGATCTTCTCTAGCGGTGCATCGGGCCGACCGGGATCAGCGCCGGGTCGGTAAAGTTGAACACGCTCGGTGGCCTGGTCGACAGCTCCTGCACCGCCATGTCGTTGCCGCTGTATTGCCGTGCCTCCAGCAGCGACACCTTCTCGGGGAGGCGAAAGGAGACGTTGTTCATGTAGGCCACCTCGATGGTGCCCTTGCCAAGCGAGATGAAGAGGTGCTCGTCGACGCGGCCCCGGAGCTACGGCAGCATGCAGCGGGTGGTCTATCCTATGGTGACAATTATATGTTACCAGGGTTCAAAATTTCGGCGAAATTTTGGCCGAATTTCATGAAATTCGGTAATTTCGGTGCTGGCCGAAAGAAAACTCCGAAATTTTTTAATACACTAATACATGTGCTATATAACTCTAATCTTATATTTTTCTATTGTTTATATTGCATATTCTTCTATTTAATAGATATGTAGTCATAAATCATACTAATATTTGTTTAGATCTAAATTTTTTAGAAAAAACATACTTCATGTGACCCAGCTGAAATTGAGTAACGAGTGAAATTTTGGCCAGAAATTAAAAACCTTGTATGTTACTTATATAGTTTTTATACCAATATGAAATTGGACCCAGCTGATGAGACGAGTGCACCAGAATAGGAAAAAGAGTGATGTCGGGTATATTCCTTGATACCATATCTAAAGTGTGGCTGCGGTAGCTTGTGTGGTAGTTGGGTCGATTCCTTTTGGTTGGGGCATGCCCATAGGATGATTGTAGTGGATTAGCCCCATTCAAGCTAAGCAAATTGATAAGCATGTACATTTACGTATACACACCAAAAGCCACTCCTGGATAAGATGGCACCCATAGACAAGCGCACGTTGTCGCCACTTTTATAGGGAAAGCTAGCATGCCATGCTATTTCACCCAGCGTAGATTGCACGTAGCCATAGACTCTAGTCATCTGTATACATGCACAATGTGTGACAAATCAATATGGATCAGAATGTACTTTACTAAATTAGTTCCTTCGAAAGTAAGGAATTGAAAAGGAAAATATCCCCTGCGTGCATGCATAAATCAAGCAGTCGTTGCCACCTGTCCCTCGGCTGGCTCAATAACATGCAAACTGACCATGGTTTCAAGGGCCGCGCGGTTGAACGCACACTAAATCTGTGGACGGTGTTTGAGTGACAATGAGTACATGCTATACACATCATGTCGTCCAACAGATAGATACATTAGGGTGTCTACATACATACACAACCACAGACAGCACACCACATCGGTACAACGCCGAGCGCGCAAGCGTTTCTCCATGCACTTGAAACTGATCGAGTAGTGAAGAACACGACGCTCCGACGCTGCAGTGATCAACACTAGATCACGACGACCTGTCACTAGACTGCTTTTCCTAGATGGATGCCTACATCTACAACAGCCCCTGCACCGCATGCGAGACAACATGGACTCCGCTCCGGCCGGCCTGTCCGCAGCCTTGCATCATGAAGGCCTTGTAGCATATAATAGCCACAGCAGCCCTCGTTCCCTAATGCATGCACATCTCCAGCCGTGCAGCCCTCTTATCCATGCAGATGAGACGACAGCCGGAGCAGGCCTATATGCATGAGTGGCGCACGCCCACAGGAATCGCAGGCCAGGGCAGGCAAACCGGAGGGAGGTCATGGCGTCATGCTGCACGCCACAACCCGGGCACCTGTTGCCAGCAGCAGCCGAGGCCCCGGCGCGAAAAGCAAGCCCGGGTGAGTGAGGACAAGTGTGGCACAGTTGGAAAGAACAAGAGTCCAATGCCCAGTAGAAACAGACACCACCGAAAAAGAGGGGAGTCAGGCAGGGGTCGGAAGCTTCAGCGGAAAGATGCTTGCGCGAACACGCCTCCTGCCTATTTCAGCCATGCTGCAGTGCCCGGGTCACTGCACCAGAACAACCCATCCTGCATCCGTCTTCGTGAGTGAGTGAGAGACGACCTAGATTGACTGGCAGGTCAAGAAGAGTTTGTGCATGTATGTATACTTTATTTTTTCAGTACTATCTAGAGATTATTCCTTGTTGGTGCTTCCTGGATCTGATATTCTTATCTCAGTTGAGGAGCAAGATAACCATGGTGGACCAGCAGCAGCCGCAACCCCAGCAGGAGGAGATGAACGCTGTTCATGCCAGTGGCCACGAACTGCCTCCAGGGTTTCGCTTCTACCCGAGCGATAATGAGATTGTCAACCACTACTTGATGAACAAGGTGCGCAACACAGACTTCACCTGCACCGCCATTGGAGAGGTCGATGTAAACAAGATTGAGCCATGGGACCTCCCGAGTATGTAACAAGCAGCCTCGATTTGTACATACATATACTCCTTGTTCTTGTTTGATCTGTGCAGTGGGTGCATACTGCTATGCTAGTGATCGACTAAAATATGCTGCTTGATTCGCATGCTGCAGAGGAAGCAAAATGGGGTGAGAAAGACTGGTACTTCTTCTTCCAGAAGGACCGCAAGTACCCGATGGGGCCGAGGGTGAACCGGGCCACAAAGGCCGGTTATTGGAAAGCAACTGGCAAGGACAAGGAGGTCTACAACACCACAGAAGGGGTGGTGCTGCTGGTCGGCATGAAGAAGACGCTCGTCTTCTACAAGGGCAGGGCTCCCAGGGGCGATAAAACCAACTGGGTGATGCATGAGTACAGGCTCGAAGGCAGCGACAAGTTCTCCGGCCCTGCATCCGCATCCAGCTCAGCCACTAACGCCGCGGCGGCCATGAAAGCTTCAACTTCAGCTTCCAAGGTGTGTGGTAGTGGTAACATCACTGCATGGTGCATACATCCATATGCTACTTGCCTTATTTGTTAGGATCGAATGTGTACCTCTCTGTGTAACTCGTAGATCCGGTGACGACCTCTTCCTTTAGGGTTCCTCTAGTCGCCCTGGGACAGTAGCGTCGTGACCTCGCGGACACCGGTGCCGAGGCAGCTCCGGCTCAGTGGCGAGATACAGTGGTGGCAGCGGTAACGCTGCAGGGGTGACGACGGAGACCCTGCAGGCGCGACGGTGAGGTTGGTGGGGCACATCCCGTCGCTGGCAGCACTTTTTTAGGATCGGATTAGGGTTTTCTCTGTAGGTGGGTGGCGGCTCCGTTCAACCTCGTGACCCGAGCCCAGCTCCCCACTCCTCTATACATATGTGTTGTGCGACAGGGGCCCATCAACCAGTTAGGGTTGGGCTCTCCCGATCAGGGAGCAGAGGCAAGGGCCCAATAGGCCGTTGGGCTTATTGGTGGAGATCAACTAACATTCTCCCCCTTGATCTCATTCCATCTTTCAATTTCATATCATTTACGTTTGTTCATTCCATTACAGATTAGCGCATAGAGCATGCCTCATCGTTCCGGTCCATTGCCGATAGATTTAACAGCTACAACACACTACTCTGTTTTGAAATAGATACTAATCTTTGGGCCTTCTTTTGTCCAGGAATTTTAGGCTTCCCTTAAACCCATGTTAGCTACATATTCTCTGAACACCATGTTCTCTGAACATGTTGGGTGGTAAGCCTTTTGTAAGCGGATCCGCGAACATCCTTTCTGTACTTATATGCTCAAGACTTATGACTTGATCCCGGACTTTATCTTTCACAACATAATACTCTATGCCAATGTGTTTGGCAGCACCACTTGACTTATGTTGTGAGCATACTGTACTGTCAGATTATAATCGCAGTATAACTTTAGTGGTCTATAGATGTCGTCAACCACCTTCAAACCGGGTATGAACTTCTTTAGCCAGTTCACCTGCCCGTTGCCTCATAACACGCTACAAACCGTCATACATTGTGGACGATGTAGTGACAGTTTGCTTTGAACTTTTCCATGAAATAGCTCCCCTTTGCGAGATGATAGAAAATCCACGTCTGGATATGTATTCACTCTCGCATAATCAGAATCTGAATATCCCACTATGTGGAATGAATCAGATCTTCTATATGTCATCATGAGGCCTTTCGTTCCTTGCAAATAATGCAAGACTTTCTTTACTAATTTCAGTGTTCTATTCTAGAATTGCTCTGGAATCTGCCAAGTAAAACCCGATAACAAATGCTAAGTCAGGGCGTGTACATACTTGAGCATGTTGCAAGCTTCCGACAGCTGAAGCATATGGAACCACTTTCACTTTATCAATTGAGCTCATATTGGTTCCTGGGGCATTAAAAATCCCCATATCTGTCGTCCTTGACTATAGGAGCAGGTGAGGGACTACATTTGTGCATACTGAATTTCTTTAAGATCTTTTCCATGTATGCCTTTTGTGACAGTCCTTATACCCTTTTTCTTCCATCTCGGTGAATCTCCATCCCTAGATTGAACGAGGCTTCGCCAAGATCTTTCATATCAAATTTCTTTGTCTCCTGTAGTAGACTGACATCACTACTAGCAAGTAAGATATCATCTACATACAGGACAAGGAAGACAGACTTCCCATTCTTAAACTTTGTATTGACACAATTGTCCTCTACATTCTCTTTACTTTGTATAGACACAATTGTTCTCTTCATTCTCTTTAAAACCTAAAATTCTTTATTGTCTGATCAAACTTCAAGTACCACTGTCTTGAATCTTGTTTTAATCCATAAAAGGATTTCTTTAGGCGGCATCACATTCGTTCTTTTCCTTCCATGACAAAACCTTTTGGTTGTGCCATGTAAACATTTTCCTCCAAGTCTCCATTGAGAAATACCGTCTTTACATCCATCTGATGTAATTCTCAATCGTAATGTGCCACTAATGCCATTATGATTCTGAAGGAAACTTTACAAGAGACTGGAGAAAAGGTCTCATTGTAATCAATCCCTTCTCTTTGCATATATCCTTTTGCCACAAGTCGCACTTTATATTTCTCTATATTCCCTTGAGAGTCAAGTTTTGTTTTGTAAACCCATTTATAGCCTACTGTTTTGGCTCCTTTAAGAATTATTTCTAAATCCCAAACTTTATTGGCATTCATCGATTTTATTTCATCTTCCATGGCCTCAAGCCACTTTGATGAATGATCACTTCTCATGTCTTCTTCAAATGAGGTGGGATCATCCTCCATTTGAAATTGCTCAGTGTTGTACACTTTATAATCAGCAGGAATATCTGATTTTCTAACTCTTTGAGACCTTCTAGGGGCCTCCACATTTGGCAAATCTTCTGTTTGAGGCTGTTGTTGCTTCCCCTCATGTTTGGCAATAGGTTCTATAGGATCCTGAAGAACAGGTTCCTCATCGTCATTCATTGTTGCCACAGGTGGGATAAAAACAGGTGCTGGCACCACAGTATTTAGCATTGTCGGTGTAGCGACAGCAGGTAGTGAGAAAATTGGCTCATGAATCATTGGAGTGGGCGCATACACCCGCTTCACTTCAAGGTCAATTTATCGAGCTACCATGCTCTCCCTCATCAGTTCATCCTCTAGGAAGACAGCGTGTCTCGTTTCCACAAACTTTGTATGTCTCTCTAGATAGTAGAAACGAAAACCTTTTGACTTTTCTGGGTAGCCAAACAAATGGCAACTTACTATTTTGGGTTAAATACTTTAGCCTCAGCAGGACTCCCCCACACACACGCAAGTGGTTTAGTGAGGGTACTCTTTCTGTCTACAACTCATACGGTGTTTTGGGCACCGACTTACTTGGTACTCTATTGAGAATATGAATGTCGATTTTAACGCCTCCATCCACAGGCTCAACTGTAAGGTGGAGCAACTTATACTGCCCACCATATCCATCAGGGTGCGATTGATTCTTTTAGCTACTCTATTCTGCTGAGGTTCGCCCGGTGTAGAATACTGGACTATTATGCCATTCTTTTAGGGTATGTCGACCGTAGTACTCCTCCACGGTCAGACCTGACTATCTTAATCTTTAATATCTTAAATTTATCCAATACATTCTTTCTTTCTTTGATTGGATAAATATAGCCATAATGGGAGTAATCATCTGTGAATGTTATGAACGGATCATAACCATCCACACTCTTTATAGGAAAGTTGACCACAGATGTCTATGTGAATAATCTGTAAAATTCCTGCGCTTCATTTGTCATCTTTATTTATATACTTTCCTTTTATGCATTCTGAGAGCTCTAATGGAGGAAGAATATCATTCTTAACTTGTCTTTCTATTCTCCCCCTCGAAATATGGCCTAAACGACAGTGCCATAATTTCGACGACGCATCGTGAGCTCTCTTATGCCATTCTTTTATCAGAGTAATACTCTGTCACCAGCTGCTTTATCAGCTGGGTAGCATATGTCTTTGAAGAGCCAGTGAACTGACTCTTTATTCTATCGGGGTACTCGGTGACCATGTCACACTCTGGGATTGAGCCCACAATTGCAGGTTCAATCATGTTCTTTATCACAGCCAAATATTTCTTGTTTGCAGTGACCCACTTCCTATGCTCCAAAGCTATAGGACATCTTTTGGGATTCAAAATCCATTTCTTTAGTTGCCCAAGTGGCATCATTCTCTTTTGTCTCCCTCACCGGTACCACAAACTCAGTGGAACACGGTGAGGTGACTACCCAGTCCACCTTAGACAAGATGAAAACTAGATCAAAACTTTTCTTATCATATAAATAAACACCATTTGCATGCCTTGATTCCAACGTTGGTCAAAATCAAAACATACAACTATTCGTATACACTAATTCTATATCACCGTTGGACAGAATTAGAATTAATGTATAAATCATTAACTTTAACAATTGTTCTCACACACTAATTCTACATCACCGTTGGACAGAAATAGAATTAATGCATAAATCATTAACTTTTACAACTGTTCTTATACACTAATTCTACATCACCGTTGGACAGAAGTAGAATTAATGCATAAATCATTAAAATTATCAACTTTTCTTATACACTAATTCTACATCACAGTTGGGCAGAAATAGAATTAATGCATAAATCATTAAAATTATGATATTGTTATTAACAACGTTGGTCAGAAAATAACAACATCATAATCATGTTAAATCTCTTTTTCTCTAATTAAATACCACATTGGTTCAAAATAACTGGAGAATCAATAATTTCTTTAGCAGCGGAAAAACTTTCTTTTTCTCCAATTAAATACCACATTGGTTCAAAATAATTGGAGTATAGACAACTTTTCTTTGGCTGTGGAAAAACTCTCTTTTCCTTGAATTTTACCCACATGGAAAATTGTATTTTCGATTTCATTTAATCCATTAATCAATTTCCAGGAAATAAAGATTTACTGGAAAAACTTTTCTTTTCTCCAGTTAAATATCACGTCGATTCAAAATCACTGGAGAATATACTTTTTCTTTTGCAGCGGAAAACGTATATTCAATTTCTTGAATTTAACCCACAGGGAAAAATTACATTTTCTATTTTTCTTTTGAACCATTTATTTATTTTCTAGGAAATAAAATCTTTACTGGTAAATGAAAAAAACAAAACAGATTCAAAACCGCATTGTTGGGTGGAATCGATACGATAAAGGGTTGCCCATCTCTCCGTCTTGTGTGTGAGGCGGAACACCGGCCTGGGTAAGCAAAGTCGCATGTTGCCGCAGCACCTACTGGGCTGCGAGTCAGCCCGTGCATCTGGCGCCGTTGGATCTGATCGGACGGTGGCGCGCGCTGATAGGGAGAACAAACCCCCCCTCCCGCGCCGCACCCCCAAACCCTAGTCATTTGCATCCTTTTGCCTCTCTCTCTTCGGTCTCTCTCTGTCGCCGCTCTCTTCTCTCTCAGCGCACCCGCAGCCACCGAGAGGACACTGAGCGAGAGTGAGCAAGGCGGTGGAGCGACCAGCCATGGTGCCGTCGCCGGCCCCCTTACCGGCGCGCGTGCTCCCCGACGGGTGAGCACGCCGCCGTCGAGCGGCCTGGCCGCGGCGCCCCCTTGGCCGAGCCCGGTGAATATTTTCGATTTCATTTAATCCATTAATCAATTTCTAGGAAATAAAGATTTACTGGAAAAACTTTTCTTTTCTCCAGTTAAATATCACGTCGATTCAAAATCACTGGAGAATATACTTTTTCTTTTGCAGCGGAAAACGTATACTCAATTTCTTGAATTTTACCCACAGGGAAAAATTACATTTTCTATTTTTCTTTTGAACCATTTATTCATTTTCTAGGAAATAAAATCTTTACTGGTAAATGAAAAAACAAAACAGATTCAAAACCTCATTGTTGTCGAATTTGGGCCATACAAGTGGTTCTGGCCCATCTCTCCTGTGTGTGAGCCGCACTCCAGAGCCGCAACTGGGCTGGGGGCAAAGTCCTTATTGCTTGTTGCAGCCCACTTTGAGCTGCGAGTCGCCCGTGCATGCATCTGGCGCCGTTGGATCTGATCGAACAGTGGCGTGCGCTGATAGGGAGAACAAACCCCCCCGCCCACGCCGCACCCCCAAACCCTAGTCATTTGCATCCTTTTGCCTTTCTCTCTTCGATCTCTCTCTGTCGTCGCTCTCTTCTCTCTGAGCGCACCCGCAGCCACCGAGAGGACACCGAGCGAGAGTGAGCAAGGTGGTGGAGCGACCAGCCATGGCGCCATCGCCGGCCCCCTCGCCGGCGCGCATGCTCCCGGACGGGTGAGCACGCCACCATCGAGCGACCTAGCCGCGACGCCCCCTTGGCCGAGCCCGGCGAACAGCCCGCCCCCGGCTCGGCCCTTCTTCTCCCACGCCGGCGAAGGGCCATCCCGACGCACGGCGAGGTTTGTCCTGTCCCCTTTCCCTTTCTCTTTCTCGGATTTGGATTGATCTCTGTTTTCTGAACCGGAGGTGGGGATTAGGGTTAGGGTTTCTTTGATTCCTTTTCTTTCTTTTGATTCGACCGATTCGGTTTTCCTCTTTGGAGTTCATCCGAATCGGGGTCTAGGGTTAGGGTTCGTGTGCCGACCCCTGTTCTTTTTCTCTTCTTTGGATTTTTCTTTTCTTTGATCTCTTTTCTTTTCGGACTTCTCCTCCGAGCTTTCTGCGTGGGTTAGGGTTAGGGTTCTTGAGATCCTTTTCCCCTTTCTATTCTCTGATCCGAACACGGATCTTTTCGTTAGGGTTTCTTTAGATCCTTTTCCCCTTTCTATTCTCTGATCCGAACATGGATCTTTTCTGTTCTTGCCGTGCGCCGGTGAGAACGGCGGTGCGGCATCTCGTCCCCGCACGGTGGCGGTGGTGACCGGGGCTCCAGTGACGTCCGCCACCCCCGGTCCCTTTTCGCTTTGCTTTTACCCAGTTAGGGTTAGGGTTACACAGAGGCAACCTGGCTTTGATACCATTGTTAGGATCGAATGTGTACCTCTCTGTGTAACCCATAGATCCGGTGATGACCTCTTCCTTTAGAGTTCCTCTAGTCGCCCTGGGACAGTAGCGTCGTGACCTCGCGGACACCGGTGCCGAGGCAACTCCGGCTCAGTGGCGAGATACAGTGGTGGCGGTGGTAACGCTGCAGAGGTGACGACGGAGACCCTGCAGGCGCGACGGTGAGGTTAGTGGGGCACATCCCATCGCTGACAGCACTTCTTTAGGATCAGATTAGGGTTTTCTCTGTAGGTGGGTGGTGGCTCCGTTCAACCTCGTGACCCGAGCCCAGCTCCCCACTCCTCTATATATATGTGTTGTGCGACAGGGCCCACCAACCAGTTAGGGTTGGGCTCCCCCGATCAGGGAGTAGAGACAAGGACCCAATAGACCGTTGGGCCTATTGGTGGAGATCAACTAACATTATTTGCTTACCCTAATCTAATTTCGCTCTTGACTTACAAATGAAATTCGCGCAGGATGAGTGGGTGGTATGTCGTTTGTTCCACAAGACCACTGGGATCAAGAAGACGACTGCACCAGCATACCAGGTGCCCATGGCCGGCGCTAAGAATGATCAGAATCAGAACAACATCCCGGCCATCCTTATCTCCATGCCCTTGCAGCTGCCGGTGCCCATGCCCGTGCCCGTGCCCGTGCCGATGCAATTTCCCATCCTGCCAGACTTCGCCGTGGACCTAGTGCCCCCCTACTACCCCGACATTGGGGCTGGGATGCTGCCGATGATGCCGCCTATGGTAGGTATCGGTGGTGCCGGTGGGCTCCAGATCAACGGCGCCCTGTTCGGCCGTCCGATAGTCATGCCGCCGCAGATAAACTTGTACCACCAGATGGGCATGGTGGCTGCAGCTGGCCAGATGGGCATGGGGGCAGCAGCTGGCCAAATGGACATGGGGGCAGCGGCAGGCCAGATGGGCATGGGAGCAACAGTTGCCCAAATGGACATGGGAGTAGCTGGCGCTGGCGGCTTCGATGGTGCTGCAACAGAGAGTAGTCCGTCCTCGATGGTGTCGCAGAAGGACGAGCAGGCTAATGCCACTGAGATCTCGTCGATGATGTCCGTGAATGGCCCAGGTTCCGCAACCACCACCATAGAGATGGATGGCATATGGAAGTACAAGTACTGAAGAAGTGAACATGGAGGGTGGAGGCAAAGACATAATTTCGCATAAATATGCATGTTATATACATATATATATCTCTGCATTGCATTTTGTGAAATGATGCATCGTTTGTATATTTCCGTAATAACTATTCCGTAATAAGCTATATATGTGTGTATGCATGTACTAGTATATACACCCGTTGCATGTGTGGTATGTGTGTGTTGTTTGGTCTTAGTAATCTGGGTGGTATGCATATCTAGATATATATAACATCTCCTTAGTTGTGTTGATAGTTGTATTGTAAGAAGCATATTGGCGTTTGGTACAATATTATAGTGAACCTATATATATATATATATATTATATCTATGAATTATGGTATGATGTTTAATTATATAAACTTGATTGCCAAATTAAATATTAAAATGTATGCGTTTATATTGTGATCTTTTTGTTACGGCTACTTACTGCATATGCATGTGTACGTTAGTTGTCCCGTTTGCACACATGTGTGGCTATCACATAGGAATCAAACAAATCCTGTAGTGTTGGCTTAACCTTATATTCCCTTCCTATCAGTAACAGCTTGCAACACGATTTTCTCACTCCCACTCTCCACCTCCACCCCCCAACAACCTCCACCTCTGATCCATGCACTCCATATCTAAACCATTGGCATCTCATGAGGTAGGTTGTCCTCCTCCTCTAGATTTAAGCATGTCAGGGCTAGGGATCTTGTGATTAGGGACTGCATATAAAGTGAACTTCAAGTAGGCTGGTTCATCGGTAGTTGAAGAGGTGGCGTGAGGGTGTTGAGATTCAAAGTAGTTTGTGTTGGTATCGGAAGAGGCTAGCGATGGTTTGCCGCTAGAGTCGTCCGTGATCGAGTGTGGTGGATTGCGGCGAGTGGTGAGCGGCTTCCTTGGTTAGTGGATTGGAAGGCGGTGTGAAAGACCTATGGTGGGCTCTGGCGGAGGCCTCCAGCAAAAGGAATTAATGCCAAAAATATTTCTAATAGTATTATTTTTATCCTACTCATTTCTTTTTTGTTATAAGTTGTGCGGCTATGCATTATAGGTACATCCTTTCAGGAAAGGCCAATTGTTGGGGTTGTGCCGTTTTATTTGTTTGTCCTCCTCGGTCTACCTTTTGTTTCCATTCGAAGAGATGTTGCAGCCAATGTCCATGAAGTGTTGTGCGCGAACCGCCGCACCGTAGAGGTCATGCCCGTGGAGGTGCATTAGGTTGGAGTCGCTCTGCATCGTGGCCGTGTTCTACAACACGACCTCAACCGTAGTGTTGTGCGCGAATCACCGCACCGTCGTCGTGGCCTTCCGCGTGATGGCCTCGAGCTTCTCCAGCGGCACGCCGGGGCCGACCGGGATCAGCGCCGGGTCGGTGAAGTCCAACACGCTCGGTGGCCTGGTCGGCAGCTCCTGCACCGCCATGTCGTTGCCGTTGTACTGCCACGCCTCCAGCAACGACGTCTTCTCGGGGAGGCGGAAGGCCGAAGGAGACGTTGTTCATATAGGCCACCTCGATGGCCTCCTTGCTGCCTCCCCTCTTGCAGGACGGCCTGCCGCCTCGGCAGATGGTGCCCTTGCCGAGTGAGATGAAGAGGTGCTCGTCGACACAGCCCCGGAGCTGCGGCAGCAGCTGGTGGGTGGGCATGCTGGAATCGTCACAGGTTGCCATGGAAGTAGAACGTCGTCATCGTGTCGTGCTGGTTGGGCATGTCCGGCATGGGCGGCGACCGGTCTCTGCACCTTCCGCGCTGTCGTGGGGGATGTCCGTGTACTGCACTATCCCTCTGGATATGAACACTGGGATCTAGGGATCCGGGGCCGGCGGCTGGTTGTCTAGCGCGGCCATGTATCGTTGACATATGAACAACCTTTTTATTTTCAATTTAGACATTTAGCATTTTTCTAAATAAAAAGATTAAGAGCATCTCTATGAATTTGGTATAGTTTACTTGCCAAACTAATAGATCTAGCAGGTTAACAGAAAAAATAGCAACCTTAAATTTTGTTCTTCTTCAACGGTCTCCTAAAATAGCTTCTAAACATTTTGCATGAGAATTCCGAACTATTTTTAACGAACCAAACTTTTTTTAATAATTTCTTTGTCTTTTACCGCTTTCTCATCTGAAATCCTATATTTTAATTTACTCATGCGTCCAATTTACGTCGATCTCCCGAGAAAAATGCCGGACATTGAGCGAATACGGAGTTTCTCTTGAGTGCAGAAACGTACGAGTTGGAGAGGATATTTGGCATCTTTTTATTTTTAAAAAGCTCTTTTACCGAACTATTGGAGGGCACCTTTTTTCTTTTTTGTAAAAAATCAAAATGAGAGTTGTTTTAGAAAACTTCCAGACATGCTCTAAAGACGATTTGTAATAATTTTTTTAAGCCAACATCAAAATGATAATTTTTAAACTGACATCAAGATTTGATAGCGGTACCATATATTTTTTTGTGGATAGTAGAAGCCTCGGCCCTCCCTATATCCAAATCCTGGCTCCGCCCCTGCGTCGTACGTCTCGCCTGGCGCAATGGCGTCGTGGTGTAAGGTGTATAGCGTGATGTAGTTGGCGTCGGCGCCGACCACCGTGAACCTGTGGCCGGCGACCTTGAAGTAGTACTCGGAGAAGAGCGCCGCGTTCACTAGCCGGATAAGCATATATGTACGTCTTGACATGCTCCACATTCAGAACGAAGTTGTCTTCTACGATGCCTGCTGAAGAACAAGGCATGCAGACGTTATCACTACCGGAGACGACTTCTTTATCGAGTGTCCCACGCTTTGCCGAGTGCTTTTTATTGGGCACTCGGCAAAGAGGTTGTTTACCGAGTGTCAGAGATAAAGCACTCGGCAAACAACTGACACTCGAGCACTCGGCAAACAATAACACTTGGCAAAACTAGCTCTGCTGAGTGTTATTCTCCTGACACTCGGCAAAGGGCCGCCGCCATTAACCCTTTCCCGAGTGTCTTCTTCTGACACTCGGCAAAGTGGTGATTTGCCGAGTGTCATTTTTTTTACACTCGGCAAAGCGGTGATTTGCCGAGTGTCATTATATGACATTCGGCAAACCATATTTTTTTTTTCACTTTTGACCTCCAAACTTTTTCTGCAGTCCTCATACAATACCTGGTGCTCCATGTTCCAATGTGGCACATTTCTTGGACTTTTTTCTATATTTCTTTAATTTATTTCGTTTAATTGAATTTTCTTGGATAATTCAAATTATAACTGCTAGTCATTTGAATAATGAAAAAAATGAATGGAAAAAATGATATTCATGTTTTTAGTAGAATGTGAGGCCGTATCCAGGACCAGACCACCAATTTCGAACATATGCTTTAACATGATGATAATGTAAACATGATGCTTTCACGGTACATGAAATGTAACAACACCCCGAATACGATTTTACTTCACGGTACAGTTGCAAGCCAACAAAATCAACTTGCAATTCTACCGGCAAGAACCACACATGTGACTTGACCAAACTGATCTTGAAACCCTACTGGTCACACAACATGACCCAAACAAAAATTAAACCCTAACCCTAACAATTAGGGTTACTTTTATTCAATTTTTAATTAATTTGAAATAAGCCCAAAAAGAAACTTGTTCCAAATGACCTCAAAATTTTATGTAAGCTTTCTCATAACAAATTAGTGTACCAAAATAAATTTTATAAATTTTGGAGCTACACAGTGACCTACAAAAATTATGGAAATTGCATTTATCAATTAATTGACTAAATTTTTGAACATTAAAAATTTATTCAAATTTCAAGTTTCAAATTTTTAAACCATAATAGAGCACATACAAAAGCTACACAAAATTTTTCAGAATTTTTGGAGCTATGATTATTTTCCTACAAATTTCCAAAGATTCAGCACTATTCAAAATCAGAAAATAACAAAAGGCACTATTCTCTCTCTTGCTCTCACTGACAGCCGGCCCCCACCTGTCATCCCCAACCTCGGGCATTGACCGTGGCTGCGACGGCGCTGACCGGCGCAAACTCGTCGACGATGAGCCCAACAGCGACGGCCAAAGCACTAACATGTTCACAAGAGCTAGGCACATCGATTAGTGGCACTTTAGAGGTTGATTACGGCATGGAATAAGGCTGACACCGGCCATGGTGGACGCGGTGGCACGGCGGCGTTACGCCGGCGAAACAAGGCCAGTAACGGTGAAACAGAGAGTACCGTAAGCATCAGTGGCTCACCCCAATCGTGTTGAAGCAACAAGCGGGACCGGAGAAGCTACGGTGACATGGGTCGACGGTGACAGCGGTCACGGCGGAGCAAACTTCGTCGGCGACGGAGTTTCGGTGACTGCAGTGAGCAAAACGACCAAGCAAGAACGGATTAAGCATCACAGCGTCGAGATGAAGCTGTAGCGACAACAAGCAAGGACAACGGCTCACCGGATGATGCTGGCCGCGGTGAAACGGAGTTTCGATCGAGATCGCCGGCCGCGAGGAAGAAGAACGTAGACAGCGAGTTCTCGGCGAAATCAAGTGGTAGAAACAGGTCGGTTGAAGGCGCAAGGAGTAGGCGAAACTGAGACACTGCTTTTCCGGGGCTATCTTGCGCTGAGGAGGCGAGGATAGCTCGCCGGAGCTGAAGCGGTGGCGGCGGGAAACAGAGGAGAGAAATCAAAGTCGACGACGGCGTCGGAGCTTTATAGCGCGGCCAAGAGTGCGAGGGAACGACATGCAGTGAGCTGCTCGTGCCAGCGCGAAGCCGAGGGCGGTCGCAGACGCGCCTGGAAGGCCGGAGAAAGGACGCCGGTGGTGGGGCGGTGGTCGGCTACTGTTCCGAGAAATTACAGAATTGCCAGCGAGTTTATTTTGCAAATTACTCTCAAATTTTCTAAAGAAGTTGAAAATCTCCAAAAATGAAAGTTGCTCAACTTTTCAAACTCTACAGCTTTGCTTCAATGAACATTTTCAAATTCTGCCTCTATTTTGAAATTTGAATTTGGAGTGTATT